CTTGAAAATTTGCTACCATTCACATAGCTATTTCTTACAAATGAACCACTGAATTTTGATAGGAACCATTGGATTTGAAGCAAAATGAGTTATGAACGTCATGTCCAAATTTCATGACGATTGGACCACAACACCTTGAGATATCAACATTTTTATCACAATTGTGCGGGCTGTCTAGATTCTATGAATTTCTGCACCTTTGATTCCGAAATAAAAATACAATTCTTTCGTAGTATATAGTCACTATAGAGTTAACGAACTTCGAGTTCGTGATAATATTTAATTCAATCATTTTTATGAATGTGTAGTATATTTTTATGAAGGGAGTGCTAGTAATTTTTTTTATCTGCTTACGGACAAATACAAAAGAAAAGAAAGATACTCTATATTATTCTTACATCATCTCAATGTGAGATAAATTACAATTGATATATTAAAAATAGGCAAATTTCTTCTGAATCTACTAGATTAAAGTATATTGTTAATATAATTTTGTATTATTTGATAAAATAATACAAGTTCTTCCGAAACTTTCAACAATATTCAATGCACCTGATATCATATTAACATTATTTTCTACTAATATTAAGTCCAGAAAAGACTTTTTTTCCTTGAAAATTAGTGTGCATCTTTGCACTATCAACTAAACAAATATTTTGACAAGTCATTTCAAATTTTGTGATGCTTATCATTTGAGTAACTTCACAATAAATAAAATACAATTACTTTCTAAAAATATGATAATATTGTATAATCATATAATAATCAATCAAGTATTTAAACTAATCAATGCTGACATGACACTAGTTATATGTTTTCCTTAGGGATAAACACTAATTCAAAATGATATATTTTTCGAAATATGTGTTACTTTGAGAGTACGTTGTTTTTTTTTATTATTGCTTCTTTAAGACTATATGTCAATATTTTTTTGGAGTATTGTAAATTATAATTCATGCTCTTCAAAAAAAAATCACATATTATTATTATTATTATTATTATTATTATTATTATTATACAAGGATTTATTCTTCATGAGTAAAAATATAATTTATGGTATGTATTTAGCACCTGTTTGATACTGATTAAAATCCATATTTTAATCTAAATCTAAATCAACAATCAATTTTAACCATATATTTTATAAATTTCACAACTTTTCAACTACACATTTTATCAACTTTTATCAAAATTCACAAGAAATATGATTTTAATCCCCACCAAACAAATGCTTAATTATGCTCTTCGGGAGCAAGTAAAATTTAACTAGGATATTTGCCAATAATAGTGTTCTATTTCAGGAGCACCAATCATTTATTTACTCATCAGGAGCACCAATAATGTATTAGATCTTATAAACTCATGCTTTTCGAGAGCAAACAATACTCTAATACAACATTGATATTTACAAGGTTGTGCTTTTTCAGGAGCAACAAAAGGATACATATCAACTTAAGATATTGAAATTACAGTAAATTATTGAAATTACAAGATTTTGAAAGAAATTTAAAAATTACAAGGAAATCTAATTTTTTTGAATAATATATATACACACGCGCGCACACAAAGTTCCATTCAAATTCTAGTTATGGGTGTCAATAAGCCGAGTTGATCCACGAGCCAAAACTCGAAGAGCTCGAGCAAAAATGGTTTCGACGTTTTTTGGCCTGAACCGAGCCAAGCAGAGCATAGTAAAAGCTCGGGAAAAATATAAAGGCTTGACCCGAACTTTTGGCTCGAGCCTTAGCGAGCTGAGCCTGGCCCGAACCTAGCTGACTTTTTTTTTTATAGTATACATTTGTGGGCAGCTTGGCATGGCTTGTTTGCAGGTAGCTATGCCTGTTACTGCAGGATTGCAGTAGCTATTTTTATTTATTTTTAATGAAATTCGGCTTGTCCGGACTGAAAATAGCCCGTGAGCACACGGGCAGGCTTAGGCTCGGGCTCTGTGGTCTCGAGCCACGAGCGGCTCGGCTCGGGCTTTTCTCGAACCGAGTCACTGGCCACCTGAGCCGACGAACCACTTTGACATGCCTAATTCCAACCCACTATTAAACATGAAAGCTATGATTAGGTTACAAGACATACTAGCAAATTCTGTCACGATATTAAAGTAAACGGATATTTTGAGCGCAGAGCAGACTTGTGAATCAAGTCAATAAAATTGATCTGAGTGATTTGCGCCACCATTCTTTAGTATATAAATACGGATTCAAGTAATCACGCCACCTGAATTCATTACGGTATATGAAAAAATAAAAATTAATGATATGGGGTGAGAATATTTTTATTTATGTTCATTTATTTTCTTTTAGAAATTTTATTATCATTAAGAGCTTGAATAATTTTTAGTTTTTATTTTTTTATAATTTTTTTGAATTTTTATTTTTCAGAATTTTTATTTTTTATTTTTATCATTTTAGTTTTTTTTTTTTATAATTTTTTTATTTTATTTTTTCTTATTTTTTATTTTTTTTTTTTNTTATTTTATTTTTTCTAAGTTTTATTTTTTTTAAATTTTATTTATTAGCATTTTATCGAGATGTGTTCTATATCGATGTAATATTTATTTGAAAATCATCACTATATTCACATAGTGATAGTATTATATTTTTACTTTTTAAAATTTTATTTACCCCTTGTTTTTTCTATATTTTAAATGTTTTCAGACTTTTCATTAAAAAGATCAAAAATACATTTTGAGTTTTACATTATAATTTTAATCTTGTTTTAAACAATTCATTTTTAGAAATACCAGACCAAACACGTTTTCAATGGTTTGTCAAATTGAAAACTGAACTCCTATTTGGTGTGGATTAAAATTAGATTTTTAGTAGATTTTGATAAAAGTTGATGAAATGTGTGTTTGAAAAATTGTTGAACCCATGAAATATATGAATAAAATTAATTATTAACTTTAATTTAAATTAAAATGTAGATTTTAATTCCTAGGAGATAAAAATAGTTTAAAAACGGCGAACCCAACCCACGCTGTGAAAATTGTACTTGTTTTTAGTGGTGTCAACGAGCTAAGCCGGGAATAAAAAGCTCGAACCGAGCCTGAACTTTTTTGGACAGATCTTTTATTTGGCCTGTGGCAGCAAGTTGTTTTGAAAAAAATTAATTTTAATTTTTTTTTTTAATATTAATGGGCAGGCTCGCCCGGGCCACGGGCCGACCCGGGCTCGAGCAGACGCCCGAAAATGGCATTCGGCCGAGCCTCGGCTCGGTGTAATTGAGTCCGAGCCGGGCCTGACTTGGACTTTTTTCAAGTCGAGCCCGAGCCGCCTGAACCGACGAACTTTTTTGCCATCACTAGTTTTCTTACACCGACTTTTTTGCAAGTGTACTTTTGTCAATCCATGTATCTTGACCTTTAAAGTACTAGTTTTGGGGGAATTTTTTTTTTTTTCTAAAAATTATGGTTGGAAAATCACAACTGGAGTCTTCAAACTTTGCTAAATACAACACTTGAATCCTCATTCATTTTTTAATGCACAAGAATTCCCGAACTTTTAGTTAGTTTCGCTTGAAACAAGTTCCCACTAGATGGAAACCGTTCAATTTTCTTTCAAAGTCACGCTTACACTCCGACTCCTGACCCAAAATAGTAGAAAAATAACAGTATATCTATCAAGTAAGAATGTACTTGCATTGAAATTGAAAATATTTAACAAATATATGAATGCTCAATTTTATTGGGACTTAAGAATCCAGTTACGATTGTAAAGATGGAGGGGATGAACCATTGGACAAGCAATACTTTGCTTCATTTCCTAATACTGAATAAATCCTTTTATTTCCAAGCAAGAAAGGCATCATCTTCCCCTTTCCCTTTATCTAATTCCATAAACAGTCCATCCCCTCTTATATAAATTCAAATCAACTTTAACTGATTGCCTTAATCCTATATAGCGTACAAACCCACAATTCTCTCTTGTGTGTTCATCTATGGCTTTCGCCGATGCCGAGAAGCAAAAAGGTTTCGACAAAGAAATCAAAGAACTCATCTCTTCTCTCACAACTCGCGTATCGAGTATTCAGAAAAATGGAGGCGATTCAACTCAACATAATACTCAAGACGACAATGGAGTCAGTATCATCACATTGGCCGGCACCAACCTCGGAGCCACCATGCGCGGCGACATGGACCAGACACCTGCAGTCCCACAAGGTATAATTAAAGAAGCATACACCTCGTTAAAGAAGATATGATATTTACTTATTTAAATTTAATCTAACAGGTATCGGACTGGGAGGCACTGAAGAGTTGACTACATGTGTGAATAGTAATTTTCAAGCTATTAACAACTCTATAATGCTCGGAGGTAGTTATGATACGAAAGATCCGGGTGTTCATTTGGACATATCGGAGTACATGGATCACAGTGCACATCACCTCAAGCATGGGAAGAAGGCAAAGAAGAGTGAAAGGGGAGGCTCCAAAAGTGACCATCACAATGAACGTCATTCTGACTAGCTTGATATATTTTCTACTTATATCTGTAATTGCATCAACTTTATATTTCCTTTTCAAAGAGTCTATTGTGCCTAAATTTGATGCATGCTGCAATAAATATCGATAAAAGAATACATTTGTATCGTGTTCTGACATTCTATAGAGGAATGGGTCTCAAGGATTTGGTGAGGTTCTCCCATATAGTCGACTGCTCTAGTTTTTAGGTTTGTCATCTCACTGCTTTCTTCGTTCGTTTTGTAGTGGCTCGTGTAGGTCCAAAGCCACTATTTTTAGTGTCATAACCATCGTCAATATCTTGTCCATGCCCAATACATAATGAAGGTATCGTACAGATGGAACAAAACTTATTGCACCTGCCCAAAGTATAGAGGTCCTCACTCCACCCGAATGGACCCAAGAATCAATTTTGCGATACCGATTAATTATCAAAACCGTATTGCTTATATATGATGCAATCTATAAATGGATTACTTATTATTGGTTGATTATTTTCGTTAATTCGCTGGATTAAAAACCTCTTGCTCAATTATACCATCTGAAGTCGTTGACTTATTAGAAACAGGCAAAACATCGTTAATTAACACCGGAATGAATTGGCCGAAATGTAACTCCTCCTTGGTACAATCCAAAAGATGACTTAGAAAATTCTCTCTCTCTCTCTCTCTCTCTCATATTTCTTCCTCTCTTATTATTTTTCTCCATCCCTTTTTTGCATTCTTCATTCAAAGAAATATAAAGCCAAAATTAGTCCCATTCCCATCCCCGCCGGAACCGGAGCCGATATCTCCCAATTTACACATAAAACCACCATATAATTAGGCTATGTACAATAACATGTCCAACAATACTTTTCAACTTTCAAGATCCGATGCCACCACCCAGGCTTGCGCCGCCAGGGGCGGACCCACATGGGGTCATGTGAGGTCAAATGACCCCACAATTCTTTTTTTTTTTTAGTTTTCCTCTTGAGTTTTTTTTTTAACCTAAACATTNCAAGAAAAATGGTCTCGGTCCGCCCATGTCGCCGCGTGCAAATATCAACGTAGAAAGAGCGCGCCCTATTGCATTCTCAGCCCTTACTTCCCCCACGCCAATTCCTCAACGTGCACAAACTCTTCGGTGTAACCAACATTATCAAAATCATCCATTGCCTCGACCAGCAGTCGAAAGACACACCATGCGTACCATCATCTTCCAATCCGATGTACGCGCTTCTGACCTTGTTGGAGGGTGTTACAGAATTATATGAAGTTTGAAGTGATAGATAAATGTAGCCAAAGCCGAGCTCGAAATCGTCCTCCACCACCTCACCCTGTGTCGAGCGCAGGCTACTGTGGCCCAATAGCAGACGATATTGCAAATGGTGGACGACACGGATTCGACACGAATTGTGATGTGATTATGTGGACCCTTTGGAAACTTATGATGAATCAATGAATAATTATCATCAAAATGAATTATTCATGTTCAACCCCCACAGCAGATGGTGCATGATCAGTATATTGATCAAGAACAGATAGCATTTCTGGAGATTAATGCATGGGGGACTCGTACACAGGAATCAAATCACGTCTGTATCTTTCTCTATCAATCATCGGATGGTTGATTTTGAATGTTATGGAATCAAACCGATTCTTGATTTGCATGATGAAATAGAAGAGTTCAAATTTGATCTAGCAAATGAAAATGATGAACTAAGATTTGTTTCATTGGAATAGCTAATTACTCACTCTTCATCATATAATGGTTTAATCATGATCCCTTCGCTGATAAATTTTCTTTGTTTAAGTCCCTATTTGGTGAAAATTAAAATCTAAATTTTTATCTAGGTCAAAGTCATCAATTAATTTTAAACACATATTTCATGAGACTCCCCACTTTTCAACTACACATTTCATCATTTTTTTTTAATCAAAATCTGCCAAAAATCTGATTTTAATATCCACTAAAGAGGGGCTAAATAATTATATGGCATGTTCATGTAAGCATATACATATACATCATTGTTTGTTGAACCAAGATATCTAAAAGTTTAAAACGCTAGATATAGTGACAATGATTAATTTAAATTTTGTATTCATAGATCAAATTCATTTTTTTAATCTTTTCAAACCTTTTGCTTGCTATGAAAGATGGATTTCAAATCCGAAATAACGTAGGCATTTTAAAAAATTGTTCAATTAATTATTAACCAAATACAATTATGTATGATCAAATTCATATTTTGAATAGCTTCATTTTTCTCTTCATATGAAATTTGTTCATGATTTGGAGAAAACATCTCAAACATAGTAAGAACTTCTGAGATTATTGAAAAGAAAATTTAATCATTCAAATGATATATTATTTTCAGTTTATTGATGAATATATGATATGTTAAGAAACACCATGATCAAATGAATCCCCATCAAGTTCTAGTCCATAAAATGAATCCAACCCAACTGTAATACCTGGAAGAGATGGATACTCTCTGCACTGCGAAAGCTAACCACCTGAAGAGAAAACACCTTGTGTGGAAACATGATATTCTTGTTCGACTATTTCTGTGTCCACGGGGTTGAAGGGAGATATCAATAGATGAAGAACACCATTGCAATATATGAAGAACTCCAACTATATTTTACAGCCAGCAAGATCGTCTCAAGAGAAAAAATGATATATAGAGAGTGTGTTTGGTAGGGA